AAGAACAGACTAATATAGTACCCTCAATATTATTATATATTAGGGGGATGTTTGTTTCATGAATAGTAGTTGCACATTTGGCTTTTATGTATTAATGTTCAATACCCATTATCTAGAAGCTTCACTGGTTCTTGTTCCTTTTCATTACTGTGTATAAAGGCATTTCAATAAGCAGAACTGGCAGTTAAAGAAGACTTTCAAAGAAATGTTACCTGACTTATCTAACTTGAAAAGACATATGGTAACTCAAACTATACTTTTTTAATGTTTAAGAATTGAAATAAATTTATGGGGCTTAAATTATGAAATATGACCTTTTTATTTTTATATTTACTTACATTACTTATACTGATATTAACAATATTACTTATATTAATATTGACATAATTTTACTTATATTGGTTCATAAATGTGGCAGTTTAAAAAAAGGGTTATTAAGTTAAAAGTAAATAAATTTAAGTGATTCTCATACAGAACCCATGTATATGTGATGAATACCAATGCTAAAAGTGACTCAAATATGCCAACCAGTCATACATTTGGGTTTATGAGTAGACAATTTTTGTAGTGGAAATAGTTTGACTTCGGAGTGATACAGACTCAATTTTGGGTATCCAGTTTTAGATGTTTGATTTTGGTTTTCTCACTTGACTGCCATCAAATACGTTGCATAGTTTATAAAATGGTGGAGGGGTGGGTTGTGAATTTTTGAGACTTAGGTGGATTATGAATAATCTTTCTTTGAGAAAGAGTATCTGAAAGCATTTTAAAAAGTCTCACACAACATCCAGTGAAAACAAATGTAAACAAACAAACAACAACAACAACAAAAATAGTATCTAACAATCTCCTACCTGTTCTCAAAGCACACCTGACCCGATTAAAGGAGGCTCCCAGCTGTAGTCCTACGGCCGCTGCCAGGTGCCTTCTATCGAGCGTAGCACCCTCCAAAGTGAAACTAAGATCTGATAGTCGGAGGCTTGATGCAGGAATGGACAGTGTGGTTTGCATGCATTTCCAGAATCCTGATGGATTTATCCTCTTCCTTTTAAATGAAGTGGAAATAGAGACTGCAAATATCTGAGCATGTGGAACATCACTTTCCTAAGTTGTTGGTCAGCATCAATATCAGAAAGCTCCTCCAGTGGTTGTAATTGTTAGACTCAGTTTCTAATTTTATTTAAAGTCATGCGTTAACAGTAGAAAATATTTCTCTAATGATGACATAACTTGAAACACAAAACTAAGAGAGTGAAATGTATCACTAAACATCTACAGAAAATTTAAAAAAAAAAAAAAAATGCCTAATGTAGTTTCTAGATTCTTAAGGAAGTATGAGGGTGACACCTGGTGGGGAGAACAGAACATGCCTTGTTATGAATTTTCAGTTTCAGGGCAACAACACAACTCCATTTTCATTGCTCTAACATTTGAAATCATATACCTCAGAGATGAGTATATTTTCATAAAAATGTGTGAACAGCATATGGTCAATTGTCAGGAGAAGGCTAAGTACAATTTAAAAACTAAATCATACAAGTGTTGCTTATCTAAATGATACAAAATAAAAGTGCAGCTAGCATAAACAGCTGATAGCTGAGTAGTTTCCAGAAAATAACTTCTAGGTCTTGCCCCCCCACCAACTGGAACAGCTGTGGTTGGATAATTCCAAGTGATATTTGAGAACCACATAAAATTTACTGTAAGCTCAGCTGCACCAATACAACTAAGCCTTACCTATATAAATAAATGCAACAAGTCCTACTTTATATAAATAAACTTGAAATAATTCATCATGTAGCTGAGCCCGGATATGAGCTGAGGACATTGTGTCAGTTTTACAGATATACAAAATGCAAGGGTATTACAACACATTCAGGGATGCAGATATGACCTTTATTCTTTGCTGTCAGTCACCTCACTAACAAACATGATTCACATGTACTCTGAACAGTAATATATAGAACTAGAAAAAATTTCATTTGGACAAACATGTGGGACAATGTTAATTGATCCTATTTTCTGGAGAGAGATATATATTTATATATGTGTGTGTGTGTGTGTGTGTATGTGTATATATATATAGAGAGAGAGAGAGAGTTTTATTCTTGTTGCCCAGGCTAGAGTGCAATGACACAATCTCAGCTCACTGCAATCTCCACCTCCTGGGGTTCAAGCGATTCTCCTCCTGCCTCAGCCTCCCAAGTAGCTGGGATTATAGGCATGTACCACCATGCCTGGTTAATTTTTTATTTTTAATAGAGACTGGGGTTTCACCATGTTGGTCAGGCTGGTCTCGAACTCCTGACCTCAGGTGATCCACCAACCTTAGCCTCCCAAAGTGCTGGGATTACAGGTGTGAGTCACCATACCCCACTTATTTTCCAGATTTTTAAAATGAAAATTACATAAATACTGAGTGTAGGTGATAATCTTGGGATGATAAAGCATGTGATTTCCTTATACTCATTGGCCTTACTAAAATATTTTCACTCGTTTTTAATAGACATTTTAATTTAGATAATTGTAGAATTAAATGTAATGATAAATAATACAGACTGATTTCTATTATATTTTGCTTGGCTTCCCAAATGGTAACATTTTATAAAACTATATATAATATCACAATCAGGATATTGACATTTATGTAATTCAGTAATCATATTCAAAGTTTTCCAGTTATATGTGTCATCACTTACATTGTGAATTAAGTCCTGCACAATTTTTTCTATGCAGTTTCACATATCCATCATTTTTATTAATTTTTGAGGCCAAACAGAGCCATCATAGAGAACACATATATTGATTTGCCATTTTCAAATATCCGTTAAGCATCAACTTTTTATTCATCTTGACACACAGCAAGTATTTTTATTTTTATTTTTATTTTTTGAGATGGAGTCTGGCTCTGTTGCTCAGGCTGGAGTGCAGTGGAGCGATCTCAGCTGACTGCAACATCTGCCCTCAGGGTTCAAGCAATTTTCCTGCCTCAGCCTCCAGAGTAGCTGGAATTACAGGTGCCCGCCACCACACCCGGCTATTTTTTTGTACTTTTAGTAGAGATGGAGTTTCACCATGTTAGCCAGGCTAGTCTCAAACTCCCGACCTCAAGTGATCCACCCACCTCGGCCTCCCAAAGTGCTGGGATTACAGGCATGAGCCACAGTGCCCAGCCTACAAACAGTATGTTTAAAATATGATACTGATTAAGATTTAAAAAAAAAAAAAAAAAAGAATGGTAAAGGAGGCCTTACGCATTTGAAATAGCAGGAAGTCCATGTAGAATTTAATTAATTTAAATAAAATTGATTTCCATCTTTGACAAGTTTACTAGAATGTTTGATGATTAAATGATATGAGTGTTACGTTCAAAATATGACGGATCTGAGATGTTACTCGCAAGTCAAATAACTGCACTGGGATGAATGGATAGACAGATACGTAGATATATGTTAAAAAATATGAGACCTTTGTATCGAGGAACGCATTTTTTATTTTCTCACAGAGAATCTTGTGTCAGTTTTCCATGGCCCGATTATCTGTGAGACAATGAGAGCAAGATATCACCTGTGTCTGCCATGGGATTTGTACTACAGAAGAGGAACCCTGAAATTATGACTCTAGGAGGTTTTATAGGATCATTGGCACATCTGCCGCTTCTTGCCTCCAGAGACACAGGGGCAAGAGCTAAAGCAAGAAGGAGACCTTGCTCTGATATATAAACGAATCCTTTCTGGGGAGAGAAAAAGATCTCTGTTTTTTTTTTTCCTTTATCGTCCTAGAACATAAAGAAATGGCTTCAAGGGAAAGATTTTACATCTATTCAGAGAAATGCACTATCTTTAACTTATAAGATATGTTTTCTACTAAGCCATTCTTTTCCTGAGGTTTTTAGTAATCTTTGCTCAGTAAGTCCCAACTTTGCGGAAATGTGAAAATATTTATTGAACATGTTTCCCACAAAGAGGGCACTTGCACCTCTGAGTAGGATAAGTAGCTTGAATCAGGACAATGCTACCTGTGAGAATTGGAAAAGTTGTGCAAGCAGGGGGGATTTAAAAGCATAAAATTCCAGAAGACAGAGAAACTTACAGGGCTGCTATGGCAGTATTAGAGAAATAAGTGAGATTTCAGTGTTTGCAGAGGGATTCATTGGCACAATTGGACATTTGATAGACTTCAGTCATACAGCTGATCTTTTTCTCAGAAACGCTGACCCATTATGAATCATTGATGTGAATTGTGAGGCTAGAGACAGAAGCCAAAACCTCAGAGAAGCAGAGTGAAAATTCTCTTCAGCAAACCATGCTGGGAAAATTGGTTATCTACATACAAACAAATTAGCTTTAACCCTTAACACATGCTATTGCAGGACTTTTCCTTAGTTCAGCTACAGACGGGGTCCTGGTCACAGGGTCATGAAAATGTAGGCTTGCAGACCATTTGAAGAGTGAGGAATGCAGGGTTTTATTGTGTGAAAAGGAAGAAATGGGGAAACAATGACCTTCTGCAAAGCCAGGGTCCCTGCTGGTGCACTTCCTGCTTCGCAGTTTGAATCCCAAGTTCCACACAGGAAGAGGAGGGGCCAGGCTCCTCACCACCGCAAATGGTGCAAACTTCCTGAGGCTCCACTCCAGTGTGCAGGCTGGTGGAGTTTTCCCGAGGACCCCTCCCACCTGGGGGTGTCATTCCTGCCTCTAAAGAAGTCTAACTAACTGCCCTGAGAGTAAGGATAAAGACAAGCCCGATATTTATTTATTTGTTTGTTTGTTTATTTATTTATTTATTTATTTTTTGAGAGAGTGTCTTGCTCTGTCACCCAGGCTGGAGTGTAGTGGCACGATCTCGGCTCAGCGCAATCTCCGCCTCCCAGGTTCAAGTGACTCTCCTACCTCAGCCCCCATAGTAGCTGGGATTACAGGCATGTGCCACCATGCCTGACCAGCCTGGCTAATTTTTGTATTTTTAGTAGAGACAGAGTTTTGCCATGTTGGCCCGGCTGGTCTCAGACTCCTGACCTCAAGTGATCCACCCACCTTGGCCTCCCAAAGTGATGGGATTACAGGTGTCAGCCACCAAGTGGGCCTGAAGATTGATCCTAACCGCTTTCCACTGACAGGGTATGCTGTTTGGGGGAAACCGAAGTCAGAGCTCCCTCTGAGGCCTAAGGGTTGCCAGCAGAAGGGGCCATCGTCAGAGGCTCTGGTTCCGTCACTGCTTGGAGTTTGGTTACCTGCAGGCAAGAAGAGACAAACAGGGTTATTAGAAAACATGTATCAAAATGAAACAAGGGCAGGGTAAGGTCAGCTCAAAAATTCCAAGGGCTTTTACCAGTTTGCACAGGGAGAGGGAGGCCAAAAGCCCAAATGGTTAAATAAACTTCACCGTTTTGCCAACATGTTGGGCTTCTGGTTCCCTTCCCCCGAGCCTAATCTTAAGCCAACCAGTTTGAGGTTTGGGAAATTAACTTTTCCCAGTTTGGATGATGCATCTGAGGGGAGTCTTCCATAGTACGGAGTCACAGTTACCTATCAGCGAAGATAGTACAGAGGAGGAGAAAGGAAAAAAGACGGCATTTTTTCAAAGGAGTCCGAGGAATTGAGGATGCATTCGAAAGCAGTACGGACTGAAGATGAATGGCTGGCTACCCATCTAGAAAGAGGAGAGCGGTGTCCCTGGTTCCTTTCTCTTCCTAGCAGATATCGGGGGTATGTGAGGGATAGAGGGGGAGAGATCTTCCTTCCTTGTATCCCTGAGTACTGGCAACCTTGGCAGGTGCCACCATGGGTGTTAAAACAGTCTGCACCCATGAAGCAAGGAGGGCCTAGAGAGTAGGAATTATTGACTCTCACCTATGTCTCTTTCCCACTTGCTCTCAGTAGTCTTGGATTCCCTAGACCTCATTTATGCCATGGACACTAATGCAACCTTCATCCATGAAACGAGAAGCTCAGTTTAATTGGCAGGAATCAGCCACTGCCACCTGCACTGTGCCTTTTAACTTCTGTTATCATTTGCCTCTGGATCCCTCAGATCCAGTTTTCCTTCGTAGGGCTTTGAGCCAAAGCTTGGAATTGAGTTTGGCACAAAAATGTGTCTTGGGAAGGTTGCATGGACTCATTATCATAAGTCAAATGCTAAGGTAAAACTGTGGAGTTCAGTCCTTCTCCAACAAGTGAGAGAAAAGGACGCCCTGTGTCACACCCAGATAACTGGTGGCTACATAACGCTTGCTAGGATTTGGGTGCACAGTACTTGGCTTTGGTTAGCTTCCTTGGTCTTACTTTCCCAAAAGGAAACCTCTGAGTGATGGGCATCCTACTTATTCCCATCACCTGGCAAGATTTGCAGGATAATTGTTCAAAACTAGAATACTGATCCAGATTTTTTTTTTTTCTTTTTTTGAGACGGAGTCTCGCTCTGTTGCCCAGGCTGGAGTGCAATGGTGCGATCTCTGCTCACTGCAAGCTCCACCTCCCGGATCACGCTATTCTCCAGCCTCAGCCTACCAAATAGCTGGGACTACAGGCATCTGCCACCAAGCCCGTGTAATTTTTTATAGTTTTAGTAGAGATGGGGTTTCACCATGTTAGCCAGGATGGTCTCCATCTCCTGACCTCGTGATCCACCCACCTCGGCCTGGCAAAGAGCTGGGATTACAGGCGTGAGCCACAGTGCCTGGCCTTGATTCAGATGTTTACATTACCCATCCCTCTTGGTCTTTCTGAGCTGTGGCTGGAGATTGCTGCTACGTTCACAGGAAAAAAAACAGAGTTAGTCTAAAATATAGGCAAAAACTTAAAAACAACTAATGCATTTAGAATTTAATGATAAATGTATGATAAGTTTTGGAACATAATTCCTCTCTCTCCCATCCTTATTTTTGTTTAAAAAAAAAAAAATCATAGGACTGAGTGGTTTGCAAAAAAAAAACTCTAGTCTCATATTTGGTCTGATAATTTGCCAAAAGTGCAGCAAGAATAATCATTTCTACATAGGCCTTTTGGATTGGCTCCGATGGAATTCTGTCCCCCAAGGAATCTCAGATAAGACTTTTTAAAGGTGATCCCAGTAATGAGTTTGCATCCTCAAATATCCGTGAGTTGGGTGATCCTCAACTCTTAAGGTCCCAAGACAAATTTGGAGCTTCTGGGCCTGTTAGAAACTGACATTATTTACTGACCACAGGTCAGGAACCCTCGGCAGGGACTGCATAGTCAAGGGTATGAGGCCAATTTCCCCATTGGGTTTTATTGGCTCTGAAAGTCTAGATTGACTCCTTAAAGGGAAACATACCTTTCCAGTCAAAGTCATGGTAAAATAACCACGTTTTCCAATTGCGTCCTGTTGCAAAAGAAAAATGGATTCTTAGTGCACTTATGGAAACCACTATATTGCCATAAGTTAAAAATACTCACAGATAGTTTCCAAACTCTAGAGGAACCAGGCAGAGAGAAACATGTTCCAAATTTTGTTCATAGGAGTATACTATACTCAATTATTAAAGGCTGTAAATATTTCAAAACAAGTTTTGTTGATTCCGAAAAACAAAACAAGGATTAGAAATATTCTGAGCAAAGTTAAAAAAGTTGCTTCAGTTTCTGAGTTCAGTCCATTTAGTTAACTCTTGTTTTGCTTGATATTTGTGAACATTTTACCTCTTCATAAGTCCTGCACATTTTCCTTTATTCCAATATTACAATCTCCAAAATTATCAGAAATCTGTATTTGAGAGCACCTGTCAAAGTTCCATAGCTTATTATAAACCATCTTTTGAAAAGGATTAAAACAAGACAACAATTCTCTGTGAATAGCAAAGTGTCCAGGGTGGTTATGGTTAGAAACACCATTGAAAAAGAAGTTTGGTTATCTCTGTGGTTTACAATAACTTCACACAACAACCTTAATTATGATTGATAGCATACACTTATACATTAGAATTTTAGAAATTCCATATAATTTTGGAACACATAATAGCATTATTCACAATAATGTAACCTAAACACCATTTTGGCAATCCTATGTACCTAAACATGTCAAATAATCTTGTTTACCTCTCTTTTCTGGACACTCCAGGGGCCCTCTGAAGTATCCAAAAAGCCAAGTGTCAGAAAAGACAATTTTGAAACTGAAATTTGATTTTGTGAAGCCGGATAAATATGTACAAAGTTCAAAGCACTTGATATTATGAAATATAATTCCAGAATACCGTAATTTATTTTGCCAAAATGATGACTCAGAAATTTTAAAGAAGCAAAAACCTTGTATAACCCCTTACAAATTTTGCCAAAGAGCAGATTAGCACCTTAAGAATACCTTCTTGTGCTTTTATTTTAATGTCCAATTTACAGAAAATCCATATAATACATTTTTTTGAATGTAGTCTATGTTCACACACAGAATTTCTTCTGCAAGATTAATTTCCACAATCCTTCCACCACTTGTTTGAACCTTCAGCTTTATCCTATCTAATTTAAAACCATCCTTTAACCCTAGGCAAAAATTGACATTTCCATGCCTTCCTATAATCTTTTACTAAAAAACGCATTTTATTGTTCTTACACACCTGGTATGTAAATCTAATTCCAGTAGTCTTAATTACATGTTATAATAGTAACTCTTAGCAACTTTTAACTGTAATGTAAAACCTGATAAGTTGTTTAAGTTTATTTATTATTTATTTATTTATTTATTTATTTATTTAAGACGGCATTTGCTCTTGTTGCCCAGGCTGGAGCACAGTGGTGCGATCTCAGCTCACTGCAACATCCGCCTCTGGGGTTCAAGCAATTTTTCTGCCTCAGCCTCCCAAGTAGCTGGCATTACAGGTGTGCACCACCACGCCTGGCTAATTTTATGTTTTTAGATGAGATGGGGTTTCACCATGTTGGTCAGCCTGAAATCTAACTACTGACCTCAAGTGATCCACCCATCTCGGCCTCCCAAAGAGCTGGGATAACAGGAGTGAGCCATCCCACCCGGCGGGTAAATTGATTTAATTGTGTGCTAGGTGTAGCCAAGGTTTGACTTTTTTCAGCATAATTAAGGGTGTGGTTAGTTCCATATGTCCCTAGGCCTTACCAATTGTGAAGCTGGCAAGTCAAATAATTCTCAAAACCCAAAAAGAAGTTTGTAACCTTAAATCACTTAGCCAACCTTGCATCTGACCTGCATAATTTAGTTCACCTATTTACATTTTAATGCCATCTGCTTTTTATCAATAATCTTTAAGGCTGTTTTAATTTCTCAAAGATTAAGTCATGTGAACCAAAAGGTACCACAGCTTCTATCTTCCCTTTAAAATTATTTGATCCAAATGCTTGGCTTTCTTTAGGCCAAATTACTTAGAGCTCTTTTTACAGATAACACACACACACACACACACACACACACACACACACACCCCCCTATACAGACAGGCAGGAGAAAACCCAGTTCCCACAGGATCCTTTTTCACAACTAAAACTTTTAGGAGAATATAAACAGTGATAGTTGGGTTGGGGGCTGGCCTAGTAAAATGTCTTCTAACAGAAAAAAACGAAAACCAAAAAACAAAAAACTTGCTTAAAAGTTAACTGCTGACAGAGTAGAGAAGAGGAAAGAAAGAAGTTTAAAAATGCCTGGGGAAGAAGCTCTTATTCCTATGCAAGTGGTTCCTCCACCAGGGTGACAAGTTGAATTGCTGTGGGTTGGAGTTGGCCTCCCTGGCCCAGGGATGGGGAGACTCTGTGGGCATGTGGCAGAAAATGCCAGCCAGCTGCCTGGGGTGCCTTGTACCATGCGTCCCAGCCCCGGAGGGGAGGGGAGGGTGGCTAGGAGCCACTGCTCGCCAGTCTGTACGGAGAAAGGAAGGAAAAGGGAAAAGGCCCCGCACCCCGGCAGCAATGGGGTGGGGGCATGGTTTCCCTACCCTCGGAAGACTGAGGATGAAAAGGCCTAGAAAGGACAGTGAGAGGTTTTGAGTCCCCATTTTGTTCACTGCTTCTTGAGCCCCCACATTGTGTGCCAAAAAATTTGCAGGACCTTTCCTTAGTTCAGCTAAAGATGGGGTCCTTGTTACACGGCCGTGAAAATTTAGGATTGTAGACAATTTGAAGGGCGAGTAAGGCAGGATTTTATTGGATGGAAAGGAAGCAAAGAGGAAACAGAGACACTCCACAAAGCCAGAGGCACTGCCTCACAGTTTGAATCTCAGGTTCCACACAGGAAGAGGAGGAGCCAGACTCCTCCCGGCTGCAGAGGGCATGAATTTCTGTGGCTTCACCCCCGTGCACACTCCTCCCTGTATGCAGGCCAGTTGGAATTTTGCCAGGAAGACCTTGCCACCCGGCTGTCTCAATGCCATATACAAAATTATCTCAAAAGGAATCAGACTACTAACTGTAAAACCTAACATCATAACACTTCTGAAAAAACACAGAAAGGTTTTATGACCTTAAGCCACAAAAACAATAATTTAAAAAAAGATAAATTAGAGTTAATCCAAAGTAAAACCTTCTAGTTTTTCTTTAAGACAGCATTGTGAAAATGGAAAGACATTCCACAGACATGAAAACAATGCCAAACATATACGTAGGAGGAACTTACCTGTAGTAAATGTAGAGAACTATTTACAACTCAATAATAATGACTACCAATCCAATTTGTTGATTATATTCAAACATTACAGATATGGATTATAAATAAATACATGAAAAAGAAGATGAAAATCATCAGTCATTAGGGAAATTCGACAGAAAGCCACAATAAGATACCATTACATTCCTACCAGAATGGCTTTTTAAAAAATAAGACAATACAAGGTATTGGCATGGCAGTAGAATGACTGAAACTCATATACTCCTGGTGATAATGCATAATGGAATAGCCACCTCAGCAAAGAGTTTGGAAGTTTCTCATAAAGTTAAGTGTACACTTACCACATGTATCAGTTGTCATGCTGCTAGATATTTATTTATACAAGGAAAATGCAAACATATGGAAACAAAACAGGCAAGTTGCAAGTAACCTCTGTATGAGGCAGCAGTATGCTGATACTTCAATAATATCCAATGCAGCCTTAAACTAAACAAATAGAAGACTAGACTCAGGAAGGAGAGTCACACCAATGTTGGTATTGTCCATTCCAGTCATGTCACATCTGGAGCACTTTACCCCATATTGTAAGGCAGGTAGATAAGCTGAGGAATGTTCAAAATGGGAGTGATAGGGCACAGCTAAACCCTGTGCCATACAGAGAATGCAGAAGCATACTGGGCATTTAGCCTGAAGGACAGAAAACATGGGGATATAGAATGGCTAACACATAGGTATAGATGCTTATTTTGTATGTGAATAAGAATAGACATTGTGGAATATATAGGGTAAATAATTCAAGTTTAAAATAAAGTGTTATCTTAAAACGTTACCCAGAAAAAAGGTTTTTTTCCCCCACTTGCAAGATACCATTTATTCAATAAATGTTTCTTACATGTCTACTATTACATAAAAATTCTTATAGATTAAAGTATGTCACTTCACAATAAGCCCAATTCAGGCTGGTTTTGGGGGCAGATTTGAGACAGGTTTCTGTGTGATCAGTAGAACACAAGTAAATAAAAACGAACATTCACTGAACTCAAGTGTTTGCTTTTTGCAGGTGCTTTCTAAATGCTCTACATGTATTTAACCAATTAATCCACACACCTCTAACACCAGTGTTTTCCTGCTTCCTTCTGCTTCTATTTTTCCAGCACCCTGCCAGTCTCTCTTTACCTGCTTTAAAAGCAATGATGTTACCCTCAGAAATCCTGAATCTAATTGTGTGCATTTCCCTAGGATGTAAACGCCTTTGTGCCTTAAACAAAGCAACATTTTCAAATATTGGATTAGGTATTGAAAAAGTGAGTGGCTTAATGACTAAGTAACAAATTATTTTACAGCTCAAATGGGTTCTAAATATATGGTTTCACAATATTGAATGGGGCCTGTTAAAGAATATTTATTAAGGATATGTAAGATCATGGTTCTCATGTCATTAGAAAATGAATGCATGTCAAACATTTTTTAAAAGTAAATGGTTAAAACTGACTCAAAAGATCATTCAAAGACAAACACATATGTACACAGTTAGAAATGCTGAGAGTAATTGCTAAGTGCTGCCAAATTTGTCAATATTCACAGAGCATAAACTGTAATATTCAGAATATTTCTTCCATGAAGTAGAAATCAATTGAATCTCCACCAGATGAAATTTGCATCTCTATAGACAAAAATCACTGGTATTTACAACCAGTTTTTCTTCAACTTTGAGAGTTATGAAAATAGATAGTTCTACAGGGTCTGCTAATTAACAACCCAAGTTCCATTTTAAAGATACCCAGTAGAAATTGTGCCCATTTAAAGTTATTTACTGACAGTATTTCCCATCCTTGTGCTTGTCAAAAGACCCGGAAATTAGATTTATTTTTTATCACAAACCAAAAAATGTTGGATTTCTTAGGTTTGTTCTAATTATTAATTGCTGTGTAAGAAATTATCCAAAACCTAGTTGATTCAAAAAACACACATTAATTTTGTTACAGTTTCTCAGGCCCAGGGATTTCTCTGGCTCAGGACCCTGAGCTCCCACTCTGCAGCATCAGTCATCTGAAGGCTCTGACTGGGGAAGAATCTGATTTTGTGCTCAGATATTTGTAGTAGTTATAATTCAGTACTTCAAGGCTTGTTGAACAGAAGACCTCTAGCTACCTGTTGGCTCAAGGTTGCCCACGTTTCCTTGCCATGCTAAAGTGTCTGCTAAGTAACAACTAGAATTCCTTCCTTCCTCTCCAACATGCACCTTGCTTCAGTAAAGTGTGCATTCTAAGATGGCTGAAGAGAGAGGATCTGCCCCGTAACACAGATGTTGCTAACATCTGCCACCTACTAGTCATCAGAATGACAACTCATGAGCTTTGCCACATTCTGTGGGTTAGGAGCAATTGGGAATTCAGCCCACCAGGAGGTAGGCATCCTTAGGGTTCATCTTACTGTCTATCCACCAGAAGGTTAGATTTATACGGGTGCTGCAAGAGTGTTAATTATGCTGGACTCTTTGAGTTTGCTTTGCAAATAAAGAGCCATGCAAT